GCCCCCCCCCCCGGTGCCCCCCAGCGCAGCAGCAGCAGCAGCAGCAGCAGAACCTTCCCCCCCCCCCGGGGGGGGCACAGCGCTGCCCGTCTCTCTCGGCGCGGGCGGCGTCGCGCTGCGCCCGCAGCTCGAAGCTTTTGGTGATGAGCTGCACCGCGTTCATCTCCTGGCAGCGAAGGGGGGGGCCGTGGCGGCTCTGCCGGGGGGGCTCCCGGTGGTGGGGCTGGAGGCGGCGCTCCGGGGGGGTCCGAACGCCGCCCCCCATCTCCGCGCTCTCGGTGCTCCCGGTGGCGACGACGCGCCGCTCGCGGTGGCGCCGCGGGGCGATGCAGGCGCAGCCGTGCGGGTGCGCGGGGGGCTGCGGGGGGGCGGCGTGGCACGGCAGCGCCGGGGGTCTCTGCGGGGAGAGCGGCGGCTGAGACGGCCGGCCTGGGCCGGGGGGCCTCGCCGGGACACGTTCCATGGCAGCGCGTCACCGTGTGCCGGGTACTGCGTGCCGTGTGCCGCCGTGTGTCACCGTGTGCCATGTCCTGTGTGCCATGTGCCACCATGTGCCATGTTATTTGTCGTGTGCCATGTGCCGCCATGTGCCATGTCCTGCGTGCCATGTGCCACCATGTGCCACTATGTGCCATGTTATTTGCATGTGCCACCATGTGCCATGTCCTGTGTGCCATGTGCCACCATGTGCCATGTGTCGCCATGTGCCACGTTATTTGCCGTGTGCTGCCATGTGCCAGCACGGTGTCCCACGCCACGTTCCAGGCACGGAGCGCAGATGCCACACGCCGCGCCCCCCGTGCCGCATTATTTGCCACCCCCCCCGCCCCCAGAGCCTCCGCTCGGTGCCCACCTGCCGTCCCTCGCGGTGCGGCGCTCCTCCGCCTTCGGCCGTGCAGCAGGCGCAGGGCTCGGTGCCGTCCCGGTACCCGCGGCGATGCCGTTCGTCCCGCCGCTCCGGCCGGGCCCGGCAGCCCTGCACCGCGTTACCGCGGCTCGGCGACGCTCGGAGCCCTCCGTGCTCGGCGCGGATCTCGTCGTCCCGGCGTTGCTCCCGGCGCTCGGCGCCGCTCAGCACCTCGACGGCGGCGCAGCAGCTCCGCACGGCGCGCCACGCCGCCCCCCGGCCCCGCGACCCCGGAGCTCCGTCGCTCGGCCCCGCTCCGTGCCGGCCGCGCAGCCCGCCCGCCTCGCCGTCGCCGTCGCTGCCGCTGCCGCCGGTGTCGGTGCCGCTGCCGGTGCCGCTGTCGGTGTCGGTGCCGGCCGGGCTCGGCGCTCGCGCCGGGCGGTGGCTCAGGAATTTCTCCAGCGTCCGCGCGGCCAACCCGGCGGCGATGAAGGAGCGGTCGATGGCGGAGTCCGGCGCGGCGCCGCCGATGTGACACGACGCCAGCACGGAGCCCAGCGCCTCGGCCACGCCGGGGGGCTCCGAACCGTCCGGAGGCGGCGGGCGCCGGCGGTCGACGGCCGCGCCGCGGGGCTGCGGTGCGGGGCTGCGGCTCGGCGGATCCCGGGGGTGCGGAGCGGCGCCGGTCGCGCGGCAGCTGCAGCAGAACCCGGCGGGGGGCGGCGGCGGCGGGGTTCCTGCGGGGGGCGAACGGGGGGGGGGG